TATATATATATATATATATATATATATATATATATTGCAATTCCAAATCCACACACACACGCAAAACACGACTCATTAAAAAAATAGCACATTGCTAAATAGCCATTTTTAACGGACTGATTCCTTGGAACAGACTAAGTGAACGACAGAAATCTTCACTTTTGTAGTTTTAAAATGGTACCCTTTTGCAATTTTCGAAAATACAGTTCGCCAAAATCAAACTAGTGTTTTAATATTTACCGTCCTTTGATACACATGATGAGAAAATTTAAAGACAATTTGATGCCGTTTCAGAGAAAAAATCTTTTAAAACTTAAAAAATAGAAATTAAAAAAATGCTTACATTTCCAGCAAACTTACATGAAAACTTCTCATATTTTCAAAACAAAATGCAGACATTTTTTCAAGATCTGTCTTCAATGAACCGATTTCATTCAGAAAATATATCTTCAATATCATACTAGAAGCAAAATTCCCCCAAAATTGCTCTTTTGTAATTTTCAATAAATCAGGGTTTCAACGAACATGAGACCTTTGAAGCGTCCCTAAGGCTATCCAAAGACAAAGTTTAATCAGAACATTTGGTGCAAATTTTGAGAAAATTTTGAAAATATTTTAAAGGTTTTGCGTAAAGTACCCTCAAAAATGAAAATATTCGTTTAAGCTCCCAAAACCTTGACTTCGTTCATATCAATCGGGGATTATCAATTTTGGAGAATATAGGCTGAACGATTCAGGCGTCAGCGTGACAATAAACGGACGGAAGGACGGACAGACAGATAATTAGCCGCCAATCGAGTTCGTTATCAAGGAACAACAAAAACATGAATTCTGGTTTCCACCACGTAGGAGAGGACTTAATTTGCTATATACAGCAGCAAGATTTAAATAATTTTTCGTTATCAGTGCCCGGCAAAAAGGTTTTTGGCTAAAAATTCGCCATTTTACGGAGCACGATTACATAACGATTCTTACAAAATGAAAGTAAAAGTGGAAGAAAAATGTACGTAAACGACATCGCGAGTGCGGCAGAGAATTTGTCAGTACAGCAGGT